TTTAATTCTCCATTCTTTGATGCTTCCTGTGGCTACTTCCTAAATATAGGAGTCTACTTATCCTCAAATTCTTGTCTCAGATTTGGCTTCTGAGGGAATTCAAATTAGGATGCTTGCAATGCAGACTGAGAATCTTACATCCATTCAACCTGAACACAATTATTTGTGTGTGTGTAAACGAAGTACACTTTTTTAAACACCTGGAAGGCAAATAAATTGGTCCAAATTGTCTTCTGGGCTATAAAATAATGAATAACAAAAGTTTCATTTTTCTTACTTTTTGACCCTGTGGAAATTTATTTTGTGGAAATACTCACAATTATATGCAGAGATTTGACTAAAGAAAGTTCTCCGCCATTTTTAAAGCCTAGTTATTAATACATATTAATTGTACAGATTAATGGGATTCACTGCAGCGTTTCCATACACGCGTGTATTTGGAAAGCAGAATTTAGAAAGATGGGAAGCCTGTAAGGAGTTGGAATTGTTCTGGCACAAGACTTAGTCATGAAGTCTCTTACAGCTTGTGGAGTTAGATCTCAGCAGAGCTGTGTGTCCTAGAAATGGCTGAATTGACATGTGATGTAAATTAGGAAGGAAAAAGGGTCTCTACTATCAACTCAGAAATGATAAAAGTGTCTTTTTTTTTAAGTGTTAGGGATTGAATCCAGGGACCTTTACACTGAGGTACATCTCTGGCCCTTTTTATGTTTTATTTTGAAACAGGGTCTCACTAAATCAATAAGTTGCTCAGACTGGACTTGAACTTGAGATACTCCTGCCTCAGCCTCTCAGAGTGCGGGGATCACAGGTGTGCACCCACCATGCCTGGTTTCTTTTAGTATGTTGACAGGGGTCTTGGAGGGTCCCCCTTCAGCATGTAACTGCACTGAACCTCAGATATTTTTCTAAACACTAAGAGCATCTGCTTACCTACCATGTGTCCACTGATAACCTCAGAGGAAAATTCCTATTTTCTGACCTATTTTGGAGACTCCAGAGCTGTTAGTACCTGTACAACACTGAACAGTTTCTTTGCCAAACACTATATAGATATTTTTGTTGTTGTTCTTTGTTTGTTTTTTGCATTGCTGGAGATGGAACCCAGGGCCTCATGCAGCTGGCGAGCCTACCACTGAGCTACACCCCAGCCCCCAACACCACTCCAGTGGCAGGGAAACTGTCAGTTTTCCAGCTCAGGGGCACCTGTGGTGCTGGGCAGCCCAGCTGGCTCAGCTGCTCCGGGGCTAATGCAGGGCCTCCTGCCCTCCTGAGTACCCACCCACAGCTGCCAGCCCCTGCCGGCGGCTCCTCGCAGCTGCGCCTGCTGCTGGCTGCCTCAGAGCTGGGTCTGGAGTCCCTGCCTGTTGAGAGGCTTGGTCAAGAAATGGAAGCAGAATGTGCATTGTTTTCTGCTACATAGAAGTTCGCTGGCTTTCAAAGCCAAGGCTTTTGAGACACACGCTTGTTGGGGCTTTGGGTAGAGGTTTTTGCTGTTGTTGCTCTGGCTTTGAGATCACTTGGACAGGGACACTGAGAGAGGGCCTGGTGGTGTTTGGTGCTCACCTGAAGGAGGGCGGGAGATCAAGGCTCTGCAGTCACCACGGTGAATGTGATGAAAAACGTGAGGATTCTTGGGTCAGTTTGCCATCTGGAAGAGGACACGAGACACCAGCTCTGTGGAACGTTTTAGCTTGGGCAGAAGACTTCTTCAGACTGGTGCGGGGTGACAGAAGTCTGGAGAGCTATGATTGAAAACTGGTTTTTCCCACTGGGCATGGTGGAATGGGCCTGTAATCTCAGCATTCGGGTGGCTGAGGCAGGAGGATTGCCTTGAATTTGAGGTCAGCCTGGACTACAAAGCAAGCTCCTGTCTCAAAAAGAAAAAAAAAAAGTTCCCCCATTGCAATACTGGCATAGCGGGGACTCATATAGGCCTTGATTCCATCTCCGTGTCCCCATGTCCCAGCCTCTTCACATTTGTCTGCCACATGCTGTTATGGTTTGGGTAAGTGGCTCCTATGAGTTGATTTTGGTTGCCAGCCTGTGGTGTTATTAGGAGATGGTGGAACCTTAAAGAGGAGGGGCCTAGTGGAGGAAGTGAGGTCACTGGGGCGGGG